AAACACCTCCACACCCTCTTGCAACGAATCATAGCTGGGTTCTCCTCACTAGACCCAGAGTCGAGAATTCTCCAAGACTCTTACGTTATTTTAGATTTTCGCTTAAGTGGGGGATAAGATAAAGCCTCTCGTTAAGGTAGAATCTCACCGCAATTCCGATGTTTATTGCACCCTTCGTCTGTAAAAAAAGGCCAGTTTAGGTGTACAGTAGTCTCGCATCTCCAGCTGAGAAGATGTTTTAACTTACGAGCGATTGAGAATTCGTAGCCTGGTGAGCGCGCCAGTCGGTTCTTGTTTAGCTTTGCGCGCCAGTGGTAATGAATTTGGCGGGAGATTACGAGGGCCGTTGATTGGACGGTTCGAATTTCCCGCGCTTCCTGAACATCTGGAGGGAAAATTCTTCGGCATCAACAGTGAGACTCCAGAAGGAATTACTTTCACCCGCCATTGATCAGCACCCATGCCACTGTTGACGCTGTTGCTGTTGTTTTAGTAAGTTGATAGAATTCGAGTTTCCACGTATTGTACTAGTGAACTTGATCCTGTATCAGTACCGTGACCGAGGGAGAAGGAAGGTCGCTATTGATTGTGGGGTTACGGGGTCAAGGTCGTTGCTACTACTGCTGCTGCTGTTGTGTGTGTGTGTGTGTGTGTGTGTGTGTGTGTGTGTGTGTGGCATAGCTATCAGTTTGACCGTCTGCCTTGATGTGTCTGTGTGTGCCATTCTGTCTCTCTGTCGGTCTGTCTTCCTGTATGTCAGTTTGTCCTTCAAGAAGTTTGTATAATTGACTCTTGTTAAACTTCCCAGGAGACTCACGAAACTTTGTAGATGTGACTTAAGTTCATAGTATACTTATGACTATGTTAGATTACTTGGATGGATTATCCCAGGGGTACCAACTGTCCCTTTGTCTGTTTGTCTTATATTATCGGTTATTATAGTAATTTATCGGAAAATCTGGAAGCATATAAACAATATTGGTCTATATAGAGAGAGATGGTGTGCATACGATTAGGTGGTTCTAATTGGTGAAACTTTTCCAGAATCATTGTCTATCTGTGGACGCCTTAGTGCTTTAAGACAGACAAACAGACAGACAGACATAAACAGGAAGAAGTGTACTAATGTTGTTCCTTTTGCCTGGGTGATGTAAGAACCTGTCTCTACGTAATGTTATACTAATGGTAAATTTCACTCGGTAATAATTATATAAACAGAGAGTAAGGAGAAAGAGGAAGTGTCATTGTTATTTGACCTTTTTGGGAGGTGTTTTAGAAATTGACAAGTAATGCAGGTAAAAAATATAGGAGATTCAGAGTAAAGGACTGGCGTAGTTGCTCCTCCTGTGGATCCCGTAGGTAGTTAACAGAATAGTAGATAAAGTTAGAGAGTAAGAAGGAGGAGGTGCCGTAGTTGTATCTCCTCTTAACTGGGTCACATAAGATCCAGAGAGTGTACGTAATTCATCTCTGGGCTGATAAGGAGTCGAGATGCCAGTCTGGGAAAATAGTGAGACAATTCCTCAAGCAGAGATGTTATCGCGGCAGGGCAATTTGAGTTCGTCATTGCTGTGTCCTGCGGTCTTGTCCTTCTCCCCTGAGATACCGTTGGCCAAAGTTGTTATAAATTTACCGTTTTTTATGCTTTTATTTATTTGATGTAATATTTTTTGTTTCCGATAGGACGAACAAAAGAAAGGGGAAATGAGGCAATAGGTATAGATGCCTTTTGTAGGTCTGTTAGTGTTAATCACGGCAGATCCCGGAGTGAGGCACTGTACGTATTTTGAAATTTAAAGAAACGTACAATTAAGGTAGAAATAGGCTAATATTGGACCTGCACACCTATTTCTAGTATTAGTTGTAGCAGAGGATTAAGTAAAGAGGTTAAGTGCTGATAGTTTGCTAATCTGATTCAGTCGTTTTATGTTATTATTATTATTATTATTATTATTATTATTATTATTATTATTACCAAGGAAATATATCAGAATCCTGTATCTCGTGTATATATATATATATATATATATATATATATATATATATATATATATATATATATATATATATATATATATATATATATTATATATATATATATATATATAGGGTGGAGGTACATATAGGTGTTGAAGAACATCTTCTATAGTGTTGGTAACACAAAGGTTCTGTCAGTGCCGACACAGCTGACAAGTGAGCATCGGCCTGGTGGGTACGGAGCCGGTGTCGGACGGAAAAGGGGTTTTGATGGACACCAGGCGCCCAACACAAAGAATCTAATCCTTTGGGATGTTGACATGTGAGACGCTTATGTTTTCCCAATAGGGAGTGCAGCAGGGTGTGGTGCTTCTCGTCTTTTAGGGGGAAATTCATGGGACGTGAGTTATATTTAGCTCCCATAACTCTCCGTGCACCTTACGGGAGGAGACGCGGCTGGTGAACACTTGTACCCTGCAGAGGGTGTCAAGATAATTATATTCTTTCATGTGGACGATGTCCATGTTTCTTAAACCCCAAATATCATTAAATTAAAGAAATAAATCGATCCAGAAGTAGACAACAGACGGCCTATAACGCCTGTCAAGTACTTACCTGCGTTAGCCTTGCTTAGTGAGCCCGGGTTGTTGTCTCCATTCATTAGCAATTAGAAGGAATATGAACTCATACTGTACACACACGCTGAGCTGGATGGTTAGGTTATTATATTCCACGCCTTGTTCTTCACCTGTCCTGACCAATGGGAACCTATTACGAACAATGAATTGATGTGAAGCTTTGTGAATCAAAATAATGTTAGGATTTACTTTATATACTCTGTACAAGGAGAGAGAGAGAGAGAGAGAGAGAGAGAGAGAGAGAGTGTAGTTAATTTAGTGTTTCTCTAGACAAGCTAATATGGAGGCTTCAGTAGAGGTAGTCATAAAGAGTAAACATAGAGAGCTCACACCCTCACACCCGCTGGGAGGATGTTAATACAAACGTACACAGATATACACGGATTTCATGGGGTGGTTCTCACGTACACATGAACGGATCGTTAACTTCCGTTCATAAGTCAGGTACACATGGGTGGGTTTGATGACACGTATACACACCATACACGTTCACAAGAGCGGCGAGCCTGAAAGACGTGCACACGACACACACTCATATACACGATGGGCCAGCTTACACACCACGCGTTCATAAGTATCCAATTCTCCAAAATAAACCGTAAATTATTGTATGACAAAGACTTACACACAAGTAGGCCATTGAGAGACACAACATCGTTCCCTCCCACCCACCTCACCCAACCCCACTCCACCCAACCCCACCCCACTCAACCCAACCCCACCCCACCCCCACCCACCCCACCCACCCCACCCCACCCAACCACCCCACCCGAAAATCAGGCCACTAAAAAGTGCACACCACCTTCTCCTCAGCCACACAACCCACGCACACAAGGAGTCTTCACGCGCACACGGGCAGGCCATTGAGAGGCGCACATAAGTTGCACACACACGTTTGGCCACATTCACAAAGGCACATTCCTATGCACTCCAGCGTCGACGGCAGCCAGCGAGGACCACACGTCACGCCGGGGGATGAGCAAGGCTTCCGCTGCCTCGCTCCCTTCGTGTGTGTGTGTGTGTGTGTGTGTGTGCGGAGGGTGCTTGTGTGTGTGTGGGGATGTGAAGGTAGTGTGTGTGTGTGTGTGTGTGTGGAGGTGGTGTGTGTGTGGAAAGGTGTGTGCGTGTGGGGAGGTGGGTGTTTGAGGGATAAATGAAAGTAGGGTGTGTGTGTGCGTGTGCGTCGGGGGATGGCGGTATGGGTGAGTAACTGAGTATGCTGGGGTGTAAGACTGTATGATGTGTGTGTATGTGTGTGTGTGTGTGTGTGTGAAGCAACATGTCACAGTCAGGATGAGGATGGTTTCATTTGCCTTCACTATGTCCTTCAGATGAGCTTCTCTCCTCTCCTCACTTGACGGAGGAGGAGGAGGAGGAGGAGGAAGATGAATAGGGAGGGAGGAAAAAGGAAGAAATGGGAGGCATAGGAGAGAAAGAAGGAAGCTACACAGGTTGGAAAAGAAAGCAGCAAAATTGGATTGAGAATGGGGAGGGCGAGGAAGGGAAGGAGAAAAGTCAGAGGAAGAAGAATAAGATAGAATAAACAGAGGAGAGAATGGAAACAAGAGACGGAGAGTGAGGTGAGACAGAAGAAGAGGAATGTAACAAATATAAGGGGAAGAGGAGAGATAGAGGTACAGAATGGAAGAGAGGAGATAAAAGAGGTAGAGAGGGAGAGAATGGAAGAGAGGAGGTTAGAGGTAGAGGAAGAGCATGGAGGAAATTAGAGAGGTAGAGCGAGGAAGAGAGGAAGATTATGGAAGAGGAGACTAGAGCGGTAAAGAAAGAGGAGATATAAAAGGGAAGGGAAGGAATTATATAGTATGTCTTTCCTCTTCCTATATCACAAACCTTCAAGTGTTGGAACAGTTACCTGAACACTTAACACTTTTCGGTGGCTTCATTGAGTTTGAAATCCACTTCAATTAAGAACTAAAAGTGGTATTCCCTTAAAAGCTTCGAGTCTCTGAGCCTCTTGGGATGAAATAACGCCCATGAGTAAGTGGGGTATATTTTAGATGTCTCTTTTAGGACACCTTCAAGTTAGCTACACCTCCTCCTATGGCTGTGTTCTGGGGAAGATTGGATACAACCTGGGGAGAAGCTCGTGTGCAATCTTTCTATGGTAACACAGTGAGTCCGTTGTGTCTCAGGGAGTTGGGTTCTCCTTCTTTTATATAATGAAGAGTGACTTGTGTTCCTCTTGGTGGTACTTGTGACTTTGGTTGCTATTTCTCGAAGGTACTACAGTTGAGGGCTACACCGACAAGGAGGACTAGTAACTAACAGCAAGGAGCTAAGGGATAGCTTGTAGTGACCATTAAAAACTCTCCAGCGTGAGGGGCAGTCGCCGTTTGGAGGTGGACTCTCTCCACTGCGGATTACGTTTGCTCACGCATGGCAGCGCCAATCCTCTCCACGATGGTCTCGCCCTTGTAGGCTTCCTTGTAACCCTTATGGGCGCGTCTCTGGCTGTTTGGACTGTGAGTGTATCCCATTTGGCTCCTTCAGTGAACATGGGTTCGTGAACCCTCACAGGGTTGCTCATGTCCACGATATATATATATATATATATATATATATATATATATATATATATATATATATATATATATATATATATATATATATATATATATATATATATATATATATATATATATATATATATATATATATATATATATATATATATATATATATATATATATATATATATATATATATATATATGAGAGAGAGAGTATGTGTGTTATGAAGGCATCCTAAGAGTGGAGTTTGTTAATGTTACCATACGGCTAAAAAAAAACTCGTAGTGACAGACTATAAACATTAGAGGCAGGGGAGACGATGGCCCCTCTCAACACATCAGCTGTTAAGGTCTACAGCTATGTTTGTTTACTTGTCTTTTTTTTCATTCGCATTAATGTAAATATTGTGGACAACAGAATGTTACTAAATTATACCCAAGTTTTGTTTTCATAATTCTTTTTAGTAGTACTATTAATATTATTGTTGTTGTTGTTTTTGTCAAAATTTGTATGCCTATTATTATTGTAATTATTCGCTTTATTATTATTACTTATACAACTGTTACTACAATTAATAATTATTATACAACGCGTAAGCAAATAACACCAAACATTAAGACATACACACACAACATTTTTACCACCAAACAAACAAACAAAGTACAAACAAACACTCTCAACAACAGGGTACAGAGAACTTAAGAGAAACATAATCGTTTTGGATTTATAAACTTCAATACGAATTTCGGACAGTAAATAGTTGGAGGAGATTTGAGATTTTTTTAAACGTATGTCGGACTTATTGAGACAGTGAATTTTGGACCGTAAATGGCTGAAGGACTTTTAAGACTTCTGGATGACGTATTAAGACGCGTTTCGGGCTAGTAAATGCCTGATGACGTATTAAACGCGTTCGGGGCCGTAGTAATGGTGATGACACTAAGACGGTTCGGGCGTAGTAAATGCCTGGATGACGTTTGAGACGACGACGGGTAGTAAATGCCTGATGACGTATTAAGACGACGCATTTCGGGGCCAGTAAATCCTGATGACGTATTAAGACGACGTATTTCGGGGCCGTAATAAATGCCTGGATGACATATTGAGACGACGTATTTCGGGGCCGTAATAAATGCCTGGATGACGTATTAAGACGACGTATTTCGGGGCCGTAGGTGGTGGTTGGCGTATTTCGGGGCGAGTAAATGCCTGGATGACGTATTAAGACGACGTATTTCGGGGTCGTAGTAAATGGCTGGATGACGTTTAGAAGCAACGTATTTCGGGGCCGTAGTAAATGGCTGGAGGTCCACAACACTGAAGCTGCAGAGTGGCATAAAATTTTTACTGGCTATAAATACAATAGAGATCCATGAAATTGGTTATAGGATATTTCACCCACGTAGGAAGAGGTTGGAGAATTTTTTAATACATTTACAAAACAATGGGAAGACGAGGGAGGATTGAGATAGAGTGGATAGAGGAAGGAGGAGGAGGAGGTGGTAGAGAGGATTGGGATAGAGTGGATAGAAGAAGGAGGAGGAGGAGGTGGTAGGGGGATTGGGATAGAGTGGATAGAAGAAGAAGGAGGAGGAGGAGGTGGTAGAGAGGATTGGGATAGCGTGGATAGGAGGAGGGAAGAGAGGAAGGGAGATAGAGAATGAGTGAATAGAGAGGAAAGGCATGGGAGGAAGAGAGGAAGGGAATAAGAAGAATATAATGACAAGGAACACGTGAAAAAAACAGATAGGATGAATAGGAGTACGAGGAAAGGGAAACGGAGAAAAGAGAGATAAATGGCATGAATAAAGAGAAGGAAGGGAGAAAAGGAAAGATTAGGATAATTTTCATGGCTTAAGACAAAATTGTATGTTGGTTCATGATCAAAGTATTAATTAAAGAAGAAAAAAAAGTTGAAAAGTATTTGATATATTTTTTCCAGAATTCATGATTAAAGTTGTAGAAGTTTTTGATGTTAAAGTATTGGTTATATTAAAGAAGTGATGACTGTATAATGAAAAGTTTAATTTGAGTGTTCTTAATTTTTTATGATAGGAATTTACATTTTCTCTTTCTTCTTGTTGTTTCTTCTATCCCATTTTCCTTTCCTTCGTTTTCTTTCGTTTTTATCCTCCTTTCTTGGTCTTTTATTTCCCACTACCTCCCTCTCTTCTTCGTCCTCTATTCTTCCTTCCTTCTTTCCTTCTACACTCACATTTTTCCCTCCATGAGTCTGTTCCCCTTTTATCCCCTCCTCCTCCTGAACTTCTTCCCCTTCCTCTTCTTTTTTATCCTCCTCTTCCCCCTCCTCATCTTCCCCCTCCTCTTCCCCCTCCTCCTCTTCCCCTCCTCCTCTTCCCTCCTCCTCTTCTTCTCCTGCTTCTTGTTCCTCCTCTTTCTCTGCCCATTCCTTATCCTTCCTCCCTCCGTGCCGTATCTACGGTAGTTGTACTTTCACTGTTTACGCCCTTTCTTTTTAATTAGGAAGCTAATTACCTAATCCATAACTTCCCCTTTCCTTAATGAGGCCTCAGTTATTAGGCGTTACTAAGGAGATGATTACATTAGGTACATCGATGGGTCTCTTCCCCCTTCTCCTTCCCCTCCACCTCTTTTTCCCCCTCCCTCTCCTACACTACTCTATCCTCCGCTCTCCCCTACACTACTCTATCCCCCCCTCTCCCCACACTACTCTACCAGCCTCTCCCCCACCCTCCCTCTCCCCCTCTACACAACGCCGTCCCCTCTCCCCTACACTACTCCATCCCCCCCCCTCTCACCTCCCCCACTACCCCAACTTCTTACCCATTCCCTTCCAATTACCCATTTACCATATTTTTCCAGTTCTCCATTAACCTTCCCATTAACTACGCCCCCATTATCCTTCCTATTAACCACGTCCTCATTAACCTTCATATTAACCGCCCTATAAACCTTCCTATTAACCACGTCCCCATTAACCTTCCTATTAACCACGCCCCTATAAACCTTCATATTAACCACGCCCCATTAACCTTCCTATTAACCACGTCCCCATTAACCTTCCTATTAACCACGTCCCCATTAACCTTCCTATTAACCACATCCCCATTAACCTTCCCATTAACCACGTCCTCATTAACCTCGTGATATTTCCCCAACATTTCCAATTCCCTAACTTCTCTTTATTATCAAGTATTATTTTTGTTCAGTCCACCCTTAACTTCCCACCATCCATTGCCCTTTATTTCCTTCCCCCCCTGATCCCACCCCATTACTTTCCCATTTATTTCCTAGAGCCCCTTTTTTCTTATTTACCTCAACCACACTCTTAATTTTTATTTTCATACCTTAAACCATTATATTCCCATTAACCTTTAATTCCATCTTATCTTTCTCCTGTTGTTTTTCTTCGTTTCAATCTATTTATTTTTTCCAACCTTGAACAACGCCCAACAGCTCTCTCTCTCTCTCTCTCTCTCTCTCTCTCTCTCTCTTTCTCTCTCTCTCTCTCTCTCTCTCTCTCTCTCTCTCTCTCTCTCTCTCTCTCTCTCTCTCTCTCTCTCTCTCTCTCTCTCTCTCTCTCTCTCTCTCTCCACCCAGGTTATTTATGTTAATTAACCATAACAATAAACTCACGTCACTGCAGTTGGTTCCTTAACACAGGCGAGGTCAGGACGGGTCATCGCTCACCCGTGACCCAGTTATTGACCTATCTATCACAGTCTTGTAAAGAAGAGGATGGTCGTTCATCTTTGTAATCGTGATTGTATTCTCTTAACTCTCTGGGGTATATTTTGGATCTGATTACTGCATTTGTTTTTAATTCTCGTGTGTGTGTGTGTGTGTGTGTGTGTGTGTGTGTGTGTGTGTGTGTGTGTGTGTGTGTGATACCTCCACAACAAAAACTAATCTGACTTTTATCCCTCAGAGCTTTATTACGTGGTTAGGGTCAAGGTCAAATTAGGTCAGGTTCTAAGACCTCTGTTACCTCCCTTAAATGCTGGCCGTGTATCTTAATGAGACCTGATGACGTCGTGTTTCATTTTGGTATTAATTTCGTCGGAATATTAACAATGAAATGGGAATTTATATGAAGCGCTGCAATGTAACCCGGATTAGGCTAAAGATTAGATTCCTTTCACTGTTGATGCTTTAATATAACCCTGATTAAGTAAAAGGTTAATTTCTTGCAGTTGTAACGTAACCCGGGATTATTATTTTTTTTTAAGAGGTGATTCTTACGCCAGGTTGCATGTAGACGGGATGCCATAATTTCACATGGAACTGTCAGTAGGTTATGGACAGGACGACGTAACGTAATCCGGAACTGTCAGTATATCATAAGACAGGAGGACGTTAAAGTGACCCGGAACACGGTACTAAAACCCGCGGAAGAATTTTACGGTCAGAATTTAGTCTACGTCCGCTTCACGTGTTCAGTCTTCTTCGTTATCCAGTTATTTCTCCTCCTTCTCTCCTCTCTCTTCTCTTTTCTCTCTTCTTATTTCCACTCCGTTGTCCTTCTCATTCTTCTATTCCTCAGCCTTCCCCATCTTTCTCTATCCTCTTTCTCTCCCTCTCCACTTCGCTCACCCCTCTCCCTCCTGCTCTTTCCTCTCCCTTCTGCTCTTTCCTCTGCCCTCTCCCCTCGCCATTCATCCCTGGCCTCTCCATCCTTTCTCATTCACCTCTTCCCTCCCCATCATCCTCCCCTCTATTGCCTTCTCCGCCCCCTCTTCTCCCATCCACTCATTCTTAGCCTCTACTTATTTCCCTCCCTCCCTCCTTCCCTTCCTTCCTTCCTTCCTTCCTTCCACCCCTTCCCCTATCACCCCCTTTCCTCCCCTTTCCTTCCACCCCTTTCCCTTATCTCCCCTCTCCCTAACCTCACCCTAATCCAAAATTACCCCACGAGCGGTCAGTGTAATCCCATAATTTAAATCCTAGACCTAAATTCCCGTGTTTAGTGTCATCTGGTGGCTAAT